AGCCGAGACTGGGCCACGGACCGTACTGGCAAAGCGGCCCTATGGCTATGCGGAGCGGGTGCGCAGCAGATGAGCGACATCAAGGCGACTGACGGCTTTGTCAGAGCAAATGTTGGCGGTACGTGGCTATACAGCTGCTACCTGGCGCCCAGCCTATCGCTGGAGTCCTTCGGTCGGATCCTGGATGAGTTGAGCATCGACCTCCGGGGACGTAGCAACGCGATGGTCGGTGGCGACTTCAACGCCTGGGCTACCGAATGGGGATCTTCTCGGACAAACGCAAGAGGCCGCGCGGTGCTGGAAACCTTTGCCTCGCTGGACGTCGTCCTCTTGAATGAAGGCTCCCGGCAGACCTTCAGCAGGGCGGGCGCGGGATCTGTCATCGATCTCACTTTCGCTAGCAGTGCGCTGGCCCGCCACGCCTGTTGGAGGATCGGGGAAGTCTACACTGCCAGCGATCATGAGGCCATCGAGTGCACGCTAGGGTTGGGCGGCCGACCCAGTGGCCCCCCACCTCTACCAAGAAGGGCGTTCCGGCAGGACACCTTCAGACCTCGGGCCTTTGTAAGCGCCCTTGAGGGATTCTCAGTGGACGATGCGGACGGAGCTAACGGGATGGCAAACAAGCTGGCTGACGCCTTGGAAAACGCCTGTGACCAGAGCATGCTTCAGAGGAGGCCATTTCGAGGAAACCACCTCCCGGTTTTCTGGTGGAGCGAGGAGATCGCTGAGCTACGTCGCATCTGTCACCGCTCCAGAAGACTGCTTCAGCGAGCAAGAAGCAGCCCGATCCTTGTGGAACGTAGCGAGCGATATAAAGCGGCGAGAAAGGCGCTGAAGATCGCTATTAGAGACAGCAAGCGGGAAAGCTTCCTGAAGCTGTGCGATGCCGCCGAGGATGATCCATGGGGAGGCGCGTACAAGATGACGGTGAAGAAGCTCAACGCGGGGGGAAACGCCCCATCCGACCCGGAGGCACTGGAGGGGATCGTCAAAGCCCTATTTCCAGATGGTCAACCTGTCGGAAGCTTCCCAAGTGCTGAGCCAGGAGAGTTCCGCAGCGTCACGGAAGCCGGGGTACTGCAGGCCGGCAGAAACATAAAACCCAAGAAGGCGCCGGGACCCGACGGGATTCCTAGCAGAGCGACAAAGCTGGCTCTAGCGTTGCTGCCGGAGCAGGTGGCCGGGCTTTTCAACAAATGCCTCCAGGAAGGTACGTTCCCTGTAAGGTGGAAACGGCAACGGCTGTTATTGCTGGCCAAGCCAGGCAAGCCACCAGGAGAGGCTTCCTCCAACAGGCCAATCTGCCTGCTGGACATAGTAGGCAAAGTCTTCGAGAGGGTGATCGCAACCAGGATGACAGAAGCCATCGAAGCAGCGGGCGGCCTATCCACTGAGCAATACGGCTTCAAGAAGGGAAGGTCGACCATGGATGCCATCATGAAGGTGGTCGAGACAGCTAGGGAAGCCATCGCTGGTTCCAGGTGGAGAGGAGGAACGAAATCCTACTGTCTTGTGGTAACTCTGGACATTAGGAACGCGTTCAATACGGCTGATTGGGGGCGGACACTGGAGTCCCTGAGGATGTTTAACATCCCAAGCTACCTGCTCAATATAGCGCTAAGCTACTTTAGCAACAGAGTGCTCACGACGGACACATGCCAGGGTTCCAGAGCATACAAAGTCTCAGCCGGAGTCCCGCAGGGCTCCGTTTTGGGACCCCTGCTCTGGAACGCCATGTACGATGGAGTGCTGAGACTCCCAATGCCAGAGGGCACCAGCCTGGTTGGTTTTGCCGATGACGTCGCCATAGTGGTGGTAGCCAAGGAGCTAGCTACGGTGGAGGCTCACGCTGACGCAGCGGTGCAGGCTGTAGAGTCGTGGCTAGCGAACGCAGGGCTGCAGCTGGCGGCCCACAAGACGGAGGCGGTGCTTGTCTCAAGTCGAAAAGCGGTGGAGACAGCTAGCGTGAGGGTCGGTGGAACCACAATACGGTCCCAGCGGGCAATCCGGTACCTTGGCGTTCTCCTGGACACGCGCCTGTGCTTCAAGGAGCACCTGGACTTTGTGCACAAGAAGGCCAGCGGAACCGCGGGAGCTCTATCCAGGATGCTGATAAACACCAGAGGGCCGAATCAAGCAACCCGGAAACTGCTCACGACGGTTGTGACGTCGCAGATGCTGTATGCAGCGCCAGTGTGGGCGGAAGCAGCTAAGGTAAAAAGCTACGTGCGAGGGGTGGAGGCAACCTATAGGCTGTGCGCCGTCAGGATCGCGTGCGCCTTCCGAACCATTTCGGAAGACGCGGCGCTGGTCATCGCCGGACAAGTCCCGTTGACGGAGCTCGTTCGGGAGAGGGCGGATATCTACGCAGCCGCGCAGATCAGGGAAGCAACCCAGCAGACTAGAGCAGAGTCGAAGATTACCGCCAGAAGGAGAAGCCTCGAGAACTGGCAGAATCGCTGGGACTCGTCGCAAACAGGACGCTGGACGCACACGCTCATCCCCAACCTTACGAGCTGGGTAGAGAGGTCGCATGGGCAGGTAGACTTCTACCTCACCCAGGTGATCAGCGGTCATGGCTGCTTCCGCAGCTACCTTAAGCGATTCGGCCACGAGACGGAGGACTGGTGCCCAGTGTGCGGCTCCGGCGTCGTCGAGGACGCGCGGCACGTGCTGTTCGAGTGCCACCGGTTTGACCACGAGCGTCAGAAGTTGGAGGCGGTAGCAGGGTCCAGTATCTTGCCAGAGACACTGGTGCCGTTGATGTTGGCAGACCAGTGTGTGTGGGAGGCTGCAGCGACATTCGCCGCGGATGTCATGAAGTCTTTCAGGGAGCAGGAGCGAAGGCGAAAGGAGCAGACGGAGTAGGGGTCACAGCGCCCACGAAGCAATGCCAGGCGGCGGTACCGCTGGGCGTCCGATTCAAATTCTTCTGTAACTGTAAAGCCAACTATGTGTATATGTAGTGTAGGTCTATTGTAAGTGTAATAAACATATATCGAATACAAAAAAAACCTACACTCGGAGAGCAGAGAGAGTTATTCACCACGAACAAGTGGCCACGGAGTTAGCGCCGTACGAGAGCAACGGAGAGCGAGCATACGATCGAGCGCAAAGCAACCCCCGAAAATTGGCACGCGCCAACGGGAGAGAGCGAGAGGGAAACTGATGCACCGAAATGCAAGAGCAATGGAAAATTACCAGCGCGGCCGAAAATTTGGCAAAGCCGCGTGGCTGGAGTTACTTTTGCGGAGGCGACGAAAACTTATAGACGTGCGAGCGGGTGACGAAGTTTTCAACGAAACCAAAACGGGAGTGTTCACGCGACGGAGTTTCTGCGGCCAACGAGTGTGGAAAAAAATATACATTGACAGTGACAATTTTATAACCCGAGACCAGCCAGGAGGTGGTGCTCGAAGTAGCAGTGATCAGTGCTAGTGACGGCAGCCAGTGGAGTGCGGAAAATTTGGGTGGCCAAGGAGGCACCTTCTTGGAAACGGACGGAGGCGAGGACGTGGCGGAAGCATCAGCCACAGGTAAACGTGTGTGTGTGCGAAAAAAACGGAGACGGGTGAGTGCATAGGGAGAAACGCATTCTGGCCAGCGAGTGTATGTGCAGATAGAAATTTCTCAACGGCCAAGATGCGGTTTTCGCTAGAGTAGGCTAGACATAATGCCCCAAAAACTTAACCTCAAATCCCTGCAAAGAAAACATGTTCAAATAAATAATGAAAACTAGAATTTATTTAAATACAAATGAAAACTAGAATTTATTTAAATACAAACGAAAGCTAAAATTTATTAAATAAAGATGGAAAACTGAAACTAATCAAATAAAACTTGGACATATATATATGAAATAAAACTCCCCTCGCTGTCGCTATATCATTTTCCCTGACCTACGCCAAGCTTTTGGTCAAACGAGACATGCATAGAAAAAAAGGGGTGGACCCAAACTTTTGCTAAAACCTCATTAAAATTTACAAAATAAAATATTTCGCTCCTCGCCGTCTCCCCTCATAGTGAAGTCAGGTGGAAATTTAATCAGGAAATATTGTAGTACGAAATCGAAGTCCGGCGAAAAGGGTGGACCTTATCCTCGCGGCAAATGTATTCCGACGAATTAAATTAAATCTTTCTCCGGGTATTTAGCGCAGGCATAGTTCTTGCGGGGAACGGCGGAGTTTTCGCCTACACTGGGAGAAATGAAACTCCAAACTTTAATTATAGAAATTAAAGCAAATTTTATTTAAATATATTTTGCTTTCTTGCGGAGAGCCTAACTCCTGACTGCCACTTCTGGGAGCCCGTACACTGCCCACACTGAGAAAAATAAACGCAGAGAAATTTAAATTCCAGAAAAGCTCTTTTAAATATAATTTTCGGCTCAAATCGAGTCCAGCTCGCGGGGAACGACCCAAAATCACGATGGCCATGACTCACGTAGAATATTTTCCCAAAAATGCCAAAGACCTACCCCAGCCGTCGAACTTCCTTACAAAGTGTAGAGGAAGAACTGAGTGCGTTTCAGAAGGGCTCCCGCATACGGCGCAGCCCGCCAGGAAATGCTGCTAAAGCGTCTGTTGTCTCAGCCCCAAGCGGGACCGCTGAAGGGACAATTCGTGTACCCCACTAGCGAAACGCAACAGGGACTCCCCGAGTCCATCAGGTACTGAGCAGCCTACTAAGAGGCACAGAGCCCCACAGTCACAGCTAGTGGAGATGGGGGTGATCCTCGAAGACCTGCTTACGAAGGTCAACGAGCAGAAGGTGCGGAGTATCAACCAGGGTATGAAGAATGCCTTCGCCAGGCTCAAGGAGCTCCAAGAAGCATTAATGCGCAACCCGGAGGCAAGGCCCCCCCACACACGGAGCGAGGAAACTGCGAAACGCGGGTGCCAGACAGCCCAAGTCTGTATTCCGCGCCACGACAAGTCAGCCCAAACCTCTCCGAGCAGGCGTGTCCGTCCGGATAAACGAGACCAGGTGTTGGAATATCATTCCAACAACAAAAAATTTGAAATCAGCTTGTATTATATTAAGACTAATAACTGAAATACCTTTTACCTAATTTACACCATGAAAACCCTTGTAATTAGTTAAGACAAAAACTGAAGACTTATACCTAGTTCACACCTTAGAAAGAAATGATCGTGAAATGGAAACATAACATAAATTTAACTTTTAGTATTAAGTCTTACAAATACTAGATTGTACATTCACTAACGCATAAGAATATGCGGCCACATGAAAAGCCAGCTTTTTCCGCCGGCCATTAAAACCGGCTTCTTTTTTGCCTATACTTGGACCGACGTATATGTGTTTCTCCTGATCTCGGCATTTTTGTTAACCTGCAATTCTGCAATCTACAATAAAGGCCAACCGCGCCTTTATACATGGTCCTTCGACGTCGACAGAACTGGACATCTTTCTGGAGAGTTTTTTGTGCTGGCCCGAGCGCAAAAGAAGTGGACATCTCTTTTGGATTTTTTCTTTGCTGCCCCCAGAGCGTGTGAAAAAAGGTAATCCTCGTGGCTGACCCTACAGACACGTTAAACTCAACCACTTTTAAGCTCTTTTGCACAAATAAACGGAAACCCACACTTACATACATACACATCCAGTGCGTTATCTCGGAAATCATTTTTTAAACCTTTTTTGCACAATAAATGCCCACACATACATACATACATACTCAGTGCAATTCCTTTATTATATTGGTTTTCTCGAATAAATGCCCACACATACATACATACATACTCAGTGCAATTCCTTTTATTATATTGGTTTTCTCGAATAAATGCCCACACATACATACATACATACTCAGTGCAATTCTTTTATTATATTGGTTTTCTCGAATAAATGCAGACCCATACATACATACATACCCCAGTGAATGTGCTGTGCAAATAACTACATACATACATACATCTCAATAAGAACCGTGGTTTTCTTGCGCAAAAAAACCGCACGCACGTGCATATGTACATACATAAACCGCAGCTAGTGCGAGTGCATACATACTTTTACACATACATATGTACGTCAGTCCGCTTATCACTAAATTTTTGCACGTCTACATACACACACAAATCGAAGCTAGTGCGAGTGCATACATACTTTTACACATGTACATCGGTCCGCTTATATACTACTTTTTTTGACACGTCTACATACACACATAAATCGAAGTTAGTGCGAGTGCATACATACTTTACACATGTACATCGGTCCGCTTATATACTACTTTTTTTGACACGTCTACATACACACATAAATCGAAGTTAGTGCGAGTGCATACATACTTTACACATGTACATCGGTCCGCTTATATACTACTTTTTTTGACACGTCTACATACACACATAAATCGAAGTTAGTGCGAGTGCATACATACTTTACACATGTACATCGGTCCGCTTATATACTACTTTTTTTGACACGTCTACATACACACATAAATCGAAGTTAGTGCGAGTGCATACATACTTTACACATGTACATCGGTCCGCTTATATACTACTTTTTTTGGCACGTTTACATACACAAGGAGACATAACCCTACTTTGTCTTTTCTTTGGCTTATATGCACCCTTTTTATTCACCTTTACACACAAGGAGACATAACCCTACTTTGTCTTTTCTTTTGGCTATATGCACCCCATTTATTCACCTTTACATACACAAGGAGACATAACCCTACTTTGTCTTTTCTTTGGCTTATATGCACCCCATTTATTCACCTTTACATACACAAGGAGACATAACCCTACTTTGTCTTTTCTTTTGGCTTATATGCACCCCATTTATTCACATTTACACACATAAGGCGACATAACCCTACTTTGTCCGCTAGGAGCTAAAATCAACCCCTTTTTTATAAATACACTCCAGATCACTGATATCATTTGTTGTATCCCATTCGATTTTTGCCTGATTTTTCACAATGTCTGCCCAACGACGTTTTGATTTCTCTACAAGCCGAGTGCTGCAGTTTTGTGCTAAATCTCCCACCTTCACAATAGACACCAGAGAATCCCTCGTTACTGAGAGATTACGTCGTTTGGACACTCTTTTTGCTGAAGCAGATCAAGATTTTCGAAGCTTGATGGTATCCACTGACGAGGAGATGTCTGCTGACAGGGAAGAGCAAATCAGTTTGACCTTTTCTACATGCGAAGACGAGTTTTATAGAGTCAAAACTCTGTTACAAGATCTATGTCGTGGAATCCAAGGAGAAGTTCAATTTAATTTAAGCGGGGACCCAAACTCGTCAGCCCTTGCTAACACATCGATGAATTCATGCCATATTAAGGTACCTCCCTGCGACACCGAACTTTTTAGTGGTTGCTACGAAGATTGGCCCGCCTTTAGGGACATGTTTACTGCTGTATATAGCAATCACCCCAAGCTCACAGCTGCTCAAAAATTGTATCACTTAAGAAGTAAAACCCGAGGAGAAGCTGGCACTATCGTCAAACAGTTTCTACTGTGCGATGAGAACTTCGCTCCCGCGTGGGACGCCTTGTCCAAGCGTTTCGAAAACAAACGTTTGCTAGTAGACACGCAGTTGAAAAGGCTCTTTTCCATGGATAAGGTTTATAAGGAAGATGACGAGGGGATCAAGAGCATTCTGTCCACAGTGACACACTGTCTTTCAGTGCTAAAGGCTCAAACAGTTCAAACTGAAAACTGGGACCCGTTGCTGGTTCATCTATGCTCATCAAAATTACCTGATCAGACGCTCTCCCTTTGGGAACAATCTCTCGACTCCCGTAAGGATTTGCCGACTTGGCAACAAATGAATGATTTTCTAGTGATTCGAGTAGAGGTACTAGAACGTCTTTCTTCCATTAAGCCTGTGAAATCTTTTCACCAACCACCCCTCAAGTCATCCAGCAAAACTAATGCAGTAGCACACAACACGATGGCATCAGACCCATGTAAACATTGTAAGGAATCACATCACCTACGACAATGCAGTCAATTTAGAAAACTTAGCCCGAACGATCGTTTCCAATTTGCGAAGTCGGCTAATCTTTGTATTAACTGTCTCTCATATAATCACACTGCAAAGGAATGTAAAAGTGGGAAAAGTTGCAATACTTGCCACAAAAACCACCATTCCTTATTGCATTTTCCTCCGAGACCAAGACAAAACCCAGAATTAGCTCAACCGTCCAATGTTGTAGCACATCATTCCACTCAAAATCGAAATGTTATTCTCCCAACAGCATTAGTCCGTGTGCTTCATAGAGGAGAACTCTTCTGCCTCCGAGCCCTGATCGATCAAGGATCCCAGCGCACCTTTATCACAGAAAAGTCAAAACGCAGACTTAAGCTGCGCGCTCTTAAACACTACACAAGCATCTCCGGAATGGGAGGCAAACTTGTTAACTCGTCCTCTAAGATATGCCATCTGGTACTCACAGACAACCTCAGAACTAAAGAAATTTCAGTAGATGCAATTGTACTCGAGAAGCTCACAAATCTGATCCCGGCAATAAGTACTCCCAGACCCGCAGATAGCTGTCTCATTAATCTCGACTTAGCTGACCCAAATTTCTCAACCGCTGCTGAGATTGATCTCATAATTGGGAGTGATATTGCCCCTAAAATCTTTCTAGAGGGCATTCGAACTCCTCTCTCTCAAAACCTACTCGCTCAGTGCACCATATTCGGATGGATCGTAAGTGGCTCTTTAAGCGAGGCTACCACATCCAACGTTTGCACATTTTCCACTTGCGTAGAGGATAATTCCGACAACCTCGGCAATCTTCTTCAAAAATTTTGGGAAGTGGAAGAGATATCCGTCCCAAAACAAACTTCTCATTCGGACCAAATTTGCGAAAAATTATTCGCCGAGACGACCCAACGACTGCCTGATGGACGCTATATGGTCCGTCTCCCTTTTAAATCCGAGTTTCCCACCTCACAACACTTGGGCTGCTCTAGAGTCATTGCTAGATCTCAATGTCATCGCATGCAAAACACTCTATCCAAAAATGAGTCTCTTAAGTCGCAATATAATAAAGTACTGTTAGAATACATTACTCTTGGTCACATGTCAGAGACCCAGCCCTTCGAAATTGTACGGAAGAATCAATATTTTTCATACTATTTGCCACACCATGGAGTAGTAAAACCCTCTAGCACGACAACAAAGCTTAGAGTCGTATTTAACGCATCCAGATCCACATCTTCGGGCAGATCGCTTAACGATGTTTTACACAAAGGCCCTACTCTACAGGCCGATTTACTTGGAATCCTACTCAATTGGCGATTATACAAGTATGTGTTCAACGGGGACATTGAGAAGATGTACCGCCAGATTCTTGTACACCCCGACGATAGACCCTTTCAACGCATTATTTTCCAACCAGAGGGCAGTGTTTATTTGAAAGATTTCGAGCTCAACACCGTCACTTTTGGAGTTAATTGTGCCCCATATCTGGCGATCAGAACCCTTCAACAGTTAGCCAAAGACTGTGAACACGAGTTTCCATTAGCCTCAAAAATTTTACTCTCCGAAACATATGTGGATGACATCCTTTCCGGCGACCATACACTCGATGGTGCCAAGAAAGCCCAATCTGAAATTCGAATGGCATTGCAATCCGCGGGTTTTCTGCTCAAGAAAAATACCGCAAATCACGACGCGTTGCTAAGTGAAATCCCTCGAGACCACTTATTCAATGACAATTTTATCAAAGTGTCCGACTCCAGCGTTACCCACACATTGGGCATTAAGTGGAATGCCAATGATGATTGTTTCTCATACGACATAAACCCGCCTAATTCAGCCACTCAGATATCTAAACGTAGCATTTTATCCTACGCTTCGACGTTGTGCGACCCGGCAGGCTGGCTAACGCCAATAATAATTCAAGCAAAGCTACTGCTTCAATCCCTATGGCTGGAGAATCACGGCTGGGATGATAATGTCTCCCAGAACACTATCGATAGATGGAATGCCTTCATCCAAAATCTTCGAGAACTAACCCACATACACATCCCTCGCTGGATCCATTACAACCCAGATCTGGATGTACAACTACACGGTTTCTGTGATGCATCCGAAAAGGCGTACTGTGCGACAATATACATACGAACTGTATACCCCTCGGGAGTTATTCAATCCCATTTACTTCTGGCAAAGAGTAAAGTAGCCCCCTTAAAAACCCTAAGCTTACCACGCCTCGAACTATGTGGCGCAGAACTGCTCGCTAAATTAGCAAAACACGCTCTCCACGAGACACGTCTTGAAAAACTGAGTCCTCTGTTATGGTGTGACTCTGAAATAGTTCTGGGCTGGTTAGAAAAACCTCCTCATACATGGAAAACATATGTCGCAAACCGCACAACAAGCATTCACGCAGAAAGTCCCAATGCGACCTGGACTCATGTCAGGTCAAAGGACAACCCTGCAGATCTGGGAACGCGAGGATGCTCAACAAATGAGCTAAAAGAATCCACACTTTGGTGGAATGGTCCACAATGGCTATCCTTACCAAAGGAAAAATGGCCAATCTCGTGCAAACCAGAATGTTCTCCCCCAGAATCGCGAGTCCTAGTTCATTGCTGTACTCAGTCGGACGACGAGGATCAATGTCTAAAATTCACCTCGTACTCTCGAGCCCTAAGAGCCACAGCTCGCATTTTAAGTTGGCACCCACGACATAAACGCACTGCTGTCAACATGAATGCACTTACTAAACCAGCTAAAACTCGACTTGTTATCGCAGCTCAGAAAATGCATTACCTAGAGGAATACACTCGATTATTAAAAAACAAGGTGATTTCCTCCAAAAGCTCGCTCAGCCCCCTTAACCCATTTATTGACAACGATGGCCAAATTCGCGTCAACAGCCGCCTAGTCAACTCAAATCTACCATATAACGAAAGCCACCCAGTGCTCTTACCTCCAAACTCTGCACTATGCACTCTATTCATAAAATTTGTACATCAAATCTTACTCCACGCAGAAAACAGACTCATGCTCCGATGCATTCGTCAAGAATTCTATATTCCTCGCTTGACAAACAAAGTCAAAAACTGCATCCGAAAATGTGTTACCTGCACCCGATTCAAGCAGAGAACTTCGAATCAGATAATGGCAGCCCTCCCTTCTGATCGAGTGACATTCACTCCGGCATTCACAATTACTGGTGTTGATTTTGCAGGACCCTTTGACTTAAAAACGTCAGCGATTCGTTCAAGCCACACTCTCAAGGGTTACGTAGCGGTTTTCGTATGTTTTTCCACCAAAGCCGTTCATCTGGAATCGGTGTCTGAACTGTCCACAAAGGCTTTTCTTGCGACTTTCGAGCGCTTTGTAAGTCGCAGGGGACTTCCCAACAAGATGGTTTCCGATAATGGGAAAAATTTCCTTGGAGCCAGCCGAGAACTCACGAAGACATGGGAAACCTTTCTCAAAAATGCCAACGAACACATAACTGCAATTTTTAGTAGCCGCTCGTTCGAATGGCAATTCATACCTCCTCACTCTCCACACATGGGTGGTCTTTGGGAAGCGGCTGTAAAATCATTTAAAAAACACTTTAAGCGCGTAGCAGGATCGCACGCCTTTACTTTCGAAGAGTTTTCTACTTTACTCGCAAAAATAGAAGCGGTTCTCAACTCTAGACCGCTGTCTACTCTAAAATCAGATGCTGACCAACTACTCCCTTTAACCCCAGGTCATTTTATCCGAGGAGCCCCCCTAATTGTGTTTCCCGACAATCCGGGCGAGAACCTCGGCCTACATAATCGCTGGCAGAAACTCAAAATAATGCATCAAGAACTGAGTAGACGTTGGAGGGATGAATATCTCTCAGAACTGCACCGTCGTTATAAATGGAAGTATCCTTCTCGAAACTTAGCTCTCGACGACATCGTCATTATTAAGGATGATGCCTGCCCACCAACAGAGTGGCGTCTAGGGAGAGTTATCAAGGTTCATCCGGGACCCGATAATCAAATTCGCGTCGTAGATTTACAAACCCGCACGGGTGAAATAACTCGTCCGGTCGTCAAACTTATCGTCCTCGAAACTAAACCCGATTCCTCCCAGTAATCACACACACACATAACACAACTCCCAACACCACTGCTAACATATCATATCGTTTCTCTATCAGTCGCTTATAATGTTTTTTCTCACCAGATGGGACATCAATGCAAAATGTGCCGCCAAAAGCACCCGCTGCGTTTCTGCGAAAAGTTTCTAAAACTTGACTTTATCGCTAAACGACGGGCTGTAAGACGTTTGCACTATTGCGTCAACTGCTTGGCATCCTCTCACACACTCCAACAGTGCCGATCCAAGGACATCTGCCATGTGTGCGGAGAACTGCACCACACGATCCTGCATGGACCAGCCGAGGAGACAAAGGGAAAGGAGTCAGCCAAGCGCACCAGGCCTGACCAGCAGCACACCACGGAGCGAGAAAGCCGCAATCGACAGCAAAGCAGTGGAAAACGGAGTTACCATCGCAGTCCCAGCAACAAGCCTTCGCCGTTGGGCCAACTGAAGGAAGCTATTCGCTGCCTAACGAGAATGCAGTCCATTATCGCCAATTGATTGCCACCTGGCAAGGCGGGCAGCATGTTGGAATATCATTCCAACAACAAAAAATTTGAAATCAGCTTGTATTATATTAAGACTAATAACTGAAATACCTTTTACCTAATTTACACCATGAAAACCCTTGTAATTAGTTAAGACAAAAACTGAAGACTTATACCTAGTTCACACCTTAGAAAGAAATGATCGTGAAATGGAAACATAACATAAATTTAACTTTTAGTATTAAGTCTTACAAATACTAGATTGTACATTCACTAACGCATAAGAATATGCGGCCACATGAAAAGCCAGCTTTTTCCGCCGGCCATTAAAACCGGCTTCTTTTTTGCCTATACTTGGACCGACGTATATGTGTTTCTCCTGATCTCGGCATTTTTGTTAACCTGCAATTCTGCAATCTACAATAAAGGCCAACCGCGCCTTTATACACCAGGGAAGCAACCCTAAACGCCACATGGTGAGGAGCTCGCAACCACCGATTCCTAGGAGGATTGCGGAGGGCACCAATGGAGGAGACGGAAAGGCGCCCATCGAGCAAACACGACGAGCTCATCCAGGAGCAGGCCGGCGTGAAAGGCCCAAAAGACGTGGGAAGGATGCGCTGATCATAAGCCCTCCTCCAGACATGTCTTACAGCGACGTGCTCGGTCTGGTTACGCGAGCTAAGGACGCCAGGATGGATGAAGTTGGCCATAGCGTCTCCAGAGTCAGAAAGACAGCTAAAGGAGAATTGCAACTGGAGATTAAGCGCAACTCGCAGGCCCAAACCAGCGGCTTTAAGGAGCTGATTGGCAAAGCACTGGGAGCCGGAGCCACGATCCGCACAATGACGCCCCAGGCCGTTTTCCGGATATGGGACCTGGATGAGCTGACCACAAAGGAGGAGCTAGCGAATGCGCTAGTCAAGCAGGCGGACCTCCCTCCGAACTCGGTGACAATAAAAGGGATACGCGCCTTGGCCTCAGGAAGCCAGGCCGCAACCTTCACGGTTCCGGCGGGCGTGGCAGGCGCGCTCATCAAACTTGGCAAAGTTAAGGTCGGATGGACCAGGTGCCGGATCAAGGAGCTGGAGCCCCAGCTTAAGTGCTACAGGTGTCTGGACTCGGGGCACGTGGCTAGCAGATGCCGGAGCTCCGTAGACAGAAGCAAGGCCTGCTTTAAATGCGGGAAGGAATGGCATAAGGCAGCAGACTGCCCTAATCCAGCGAACTGCTTCAAGTGCGAGCAGCTCAAAAGGAAGGACACGAGTCACCAGGCCAGAAGCCGCTCCTGCCCACTGGTGGCGTCGTCCAGAGATGGCCTTAAACACAGGGCATGAAAGTGATTCAGATTAATCTGAATCACTGCGCGGCAGCGCAAGACCTGCTGTCGCAGACGGTCCGAGAATACGGAACCGATCTCGCAGTGCTAAGCGAGCCGTACAGAGGTGGTCGCAACCACAACTGGGCCTTGGATAGCTCCGGCAAGGCGGCCTTGTGGGTCTGCGGAACCACGTCACTGCGTTTGGAAAACGTCCACGCGAACAATGGCTTCGTGAGTGCCAAAGTTGGAGGCTGGTGGGTCTACAGCACATACCTCGCCCCTAGCCTCACGCTAGCTGAGTTCGCTGTCATCCTGGACAGGCTTGCCGCTGACGCAAGAGGCCGCTCTCCGACTCTGCTTGCGGGAGATTTCAACGCCTGGGCGGTCGACTGGGGTAGCGCTACCACCAACGCCCGTGGCAGAACACTCCTAGAAGTGCTCTCAACGCTAGATGTGGCCTTACTCAACGTAGGACAGGAGCACACTTTTAGCAGGGCGGGAGCAGGATCGGTGGTGGACCTCACCTTCGCCAGTCGCTCGAGAGCTGGGCAGTGCAGGTGGATACTTAGCGGGGTGTACACGGCAAGTGACCACGCGGCAATTTTCACCACGCTGGATATTCGCAGTACGCTTCCTCCACCTCCCCCCGCGCAGCAGCGCAAAAGCTTCAAGGCCGACTTGCTCGACACCCAAGCCTTTGCACTAAGGATGCAGAGAGTGGAAGCGTCAGGCGACACCGATGACATGGCCAATTCGGTGATGAGTCAGGTGCTATCGGCCTGTGAGGAGTGCATTCCATCCAGGTCCGCCCACTCTAGGTACCGCGACTCCGTGTACTGGTGGAACCAGGAGATAGCAGAGACAGGAAAGGACTGCGTGAGAGCCAGGCGACTTTACCAACGGTCGCGCGGATCCCAGACACACCTGGTAAAGCGCGAGGCATACCATCGGTGCAGAAGAGCTCTCAAGGCGGCAATAAAGGGCAGCAAGAGAAAATGCTTTCTGGAGCTGTGCGAGGCAGCGAACCGAGACCCGTGGGGGAACGCTTACAAATTAATTGTAAAGAAAGTCGGCAGAGCGAACAACTGCGCCCCACTGGACGCGGAAAGCCTCGGGAAGATAGTTGCGCATCTATTCCCCAGGATGTCTAACCCTGAGCTTGCCACGGGGGCTGGCAACTACCCGATGCATGAGCTCGAGCCCGTCTCCGAAGAGGAGATGTTGGCGATGGCGGGTAGGATCAAGGTGACGAAGGCGCCAGGCCCGGATTGCATTCCCAACAGGGCGCTCAAGCTAGCCATTTGTCTTCGCCCGGACATATTCGCGTTGCTGTTCGGGAAATGCATGCGGGAGGGGCTCTTCCCCTCAAGATGGAAAGCGCAGAGACTGGTTCTGCTGCCCAAGCCGGGAAAGCCGTTGGATGATCCAGCATCCTTCAGACCCATTTGCCTGATAGACGGGGCCGGCAAGGTGCTGGAACACCTAATCAGCACGAGACTGGAGAGGGCTATCGTAGCGGCAGGAGGTCTCTCTGACTCCCAGTACGGGTTCAGAAAGGCCAAGTCAACCGTCGACGCCATCTCCAAGGTGGTGGACATTGCCTCCGCGGCGATCGCCGGACAGCGATGGAAAGGGGGCTCTAAGGAGTATTGCCTTATTGTCACCCTGGACATACGCAATGCATTCAACACGGCGAGATGGGGCCGGATAATGGATGCCTTGTCCAACTTTTTTTTTTTTTTTAATTCATTTATTGAAACAGAGAATATACAAAAAGTGGGGGGATAGAGGGGTTGGGTCACACAGATATCGGGACGGTTTGCTCGCGCGGTACGGCCGCGAAGCAATGCTTCGCGCGGGCGCTGGTCCCGACCTATGATGCCTCCTGCTTCCTGCGTCGCTCCTCTGCTCGGAGCTCCGTCATCGCCTTCGCTGCGAAGTCCGACACGGCCTGCCAGTTCGCTTCGGACAACAACATCAGCGGAACTAGGTTTTCCGCTGTGATGGTGTTGCCCAGTATGGCCTCCAGCGATGCTCGCTCACCGGCAAACCTCGCACAGTTAAACACCGTGTGTTCTGCCGACTCCTCCAGCTGGCCTTGGCAGTGCGTGCAGGAGTCGTCTTCCTCGTGGCCGAATCTCCGCAGGTAGCTCCGAAAGCAGTCGTGGCCGCTGAGCATCTGGGTCAGGTGGAAGTTTAACTGACCGTGCTTCCTCTTCAGCCAGCAATCCAACTGGGGAATCAACCGATACGTCCATCTTCCCTTGGACGCTGACTCCCACCGCACATGCCACGATGCCAAGGTGGCATCTTTCGCCGCTAAGCGTAGCACCCTCTTGTCACGAGGTGTCAGTGTTCTGCCAATCGTCTGGCCGTGGATACTGGCCCTCTCTGCTGCGAGCAGATCCAGTGGCGGAGTCCCGGCTAGGACAAGCGCGGCCTGATCGGACACCGTCCTAAAGGCGCTGCTTATGCGTAGTGCCGCGAGGCGATGGGCCGAGCACAGTCCGCGACTATAGGCCGGCGTCGCCAGTGCATGTCCCCAGACTGGTGCCGCATAAAGCATGCTGGCTCGTGCTACGCTGGACAGTAGCAACCTGCTCGCCTGCTTCGGGCCCCTATGGTTTAGCATTATTCTGCTGACTGCTCTCACCGCTGTGGTGGCCTTTGAGCTCTCATACCCTAGGTGCTCGCGGAAGGAAAGCCTCGTGTCGATCATCACGCCCAGGTATTTTATGGCTCTGGACGATCTGATCGAGGCCCCGCACACTCGGATGGTTGCGACCTCCACCTTCTTCCGGCTGCTTACCAGCACGGCTTCCGTTTTCTGCGGCGCTAGTTGTAGGCCGGCACTGGACAGCCACGAGTTTATGCGGCTGATGCTCCTGTCGCACAGCTCTTCTGCTCCTGCGAGTTCCTTGTCGACTACGACTACGGCTATGTCGTCGGCGAATCCCACCAGCTCGGTCCGACCTGGTAGCGGGAGCCGCAGAACACCATCGTACATAGCGTTCCACAGCAACGGTGCCAGGACCGACCCTTGCGGCACTCCGCAGGAAAGCTCGGCCGATCTGACACCGCCATCAGAATCGTACACCAGAGTCCTGCCTCTGAAGTAACTCTTCAACAGCTCCAAGAGGTACGGGGGTACCCCGAAGCTGGATAGTGCGTCTAGGATACGATCCCATCTCGCGTTGCGGACGTCTAGCGTGACTATCAGGCAGTATTCCTTCGCGCCTCCTTTCCACCGTTGTCCCGCGATGGCGGCTTTAGCGATGCCCACCACTTTTGAGATGGCATCAACCGTCGACGTAGCCTTCCTGAATCCAAATTGGGAGTCGGATAGATCGCCAGCCGCAGCAATTGCCGTCTCAAGTCTTGTCCGGATAAGCTGCTCCAGCACCTTGCCCGCCCCGTCAATCAGACAGATCGGTCGGTGAGCGGAAGGGTCTTCTGGCGGTTTTCCTGGTTTCGGAAGCAGGACCAGCCTCTGAACCTTCCATCTCCTTGGGAATGTTCCTTCTCTGAGACACTTTCCGTAGAGCTCCGCGAATAGGTCCGGGCGAAGCGAAAGAGCAAGTCTCAGGACTCTGTTGGGGACGAGGTCGGGGCCTGGGGCTTTCGCCTCTCTAATTTTCGTCGCCGCTGCCAGGATTTCCGCCTCCAGGACTGGCTCGAATCCTTCCAGTGAGTGTGTAGCCGTCTCCAGCGTGGCTCTGTGGCTATCCGCCCTCGGGAATAGGTGCTCGACAATCCTGTCGATGCTCTCCGCGTCGTGGGGGCGCCCTGTTTTGCCCCGTGGATCTTCTTGACGATGATCCTATAGGCGTTCCCCCCAGGGATCGCGGTCCGCCTTAAGTGCCTTGCGGCACCGATGGTACTCGGACCGCCTCTCCAGGTGGGAGCTCGAGCGGTAGGAGCGCTGGTAGCGGCGCCTCGCCTTGATGCACTCCGTTCTGGCCGCGGCAATAGCATGGTTCCACCAGTACACCGAGTCCCTGTGACGAGAGTGGGCGCGCTTGGCAGTCATGCAGTTATCGC